CGTCAAATGGTTGTCCGAAATGTTGGAGCCGGTAAGACAACACCTATGCAAATACTTCCTTCGCGATACTTTTGAGTTCATTGAATGCATAAAAGATTTGAATGTAAATGAACAAACGAATGTTATCACTAGACGTCGAATCTCTCTTTACCAACGTGTCACTAACAGAAACAATTTGCTTCCTGTGCAATTATATGGAGAAATCCAATATAAGCGTCTGAGTACCAATATCGTATCTAAAGGAATTGCTGCTGAGATGCACGCTGAATGTACAATTCACCTTCAACGGAGACTATAATAGTAACGAGCCGATTTAGTGGCACACTACTTACTCTACTGACAGCCTTTAATACCCTTCACAATATAACATAGTCCTTTTTAAGTAGCCCAGGAAAGACTAAGTAGAAAGAATAAAGAACAATAAGTAAGATGCAAGAGTTAACAAACTGTAACACTAAAGATTGACTGATGCCTGATTGTCTGAACTTCTTAACGTAGAAGGTTAGACGAAGCATCTTCTTAGGAATCGACAAGATATGGGATGTAAGCGTAGAACTTGGGCACTGTGGTAGAATGTAATTCCATATTAGATAAGTTTATTTCATATATCACACAGTGATGATGCGCTATTAACAACTGGATGACAAGGTTTCGAGCATAAATTATTGTCACTCATAATCATATCAATTTAGTCACACGGTTTCACAATTTGTCTTATATATACTTTTTCTCTCTGTTCCGTCCCTCCAACTTCCCTTTGTTGCTTCGTGCCACTTTCCACATCTCCGGTATAGGTGGTGTTGCGCCATTCCGACTTCACGTGTGCGGTGTTGAATCGGTGAACAAAGTTTCCGTGATTAACCTCTCTCTTTGTCTCCACCTAACTGTATTACTTTTTAGTACTCTCACCCTGTCCCACCCACCATATTTTGTGTGATTACATGCAAGTGAATGCAGTGCAACGGCTGAGACTTGTTTTTTCTAGGTTATTTAGCATATCAAGGTTAATCATTCTACGTTTAGCTAAATTCTTATGTCCCAATAATCTAGTTGACCCTGATCTACTAGTTTGACCTATGCTTTAACTGACCTCACTAACAGTCATTATGCATGGTATTTGGTAAATTATGTTATTTTTCTTAATTGGATCTATTGGGTCCTTAAGCCGACAAAGTTTGTCTCTGAGAGAGTTGGTTGGTTGGTTGGTTTAAATGCCACCCCGCCTAATTCCAGAGTCATTGAGAATCCTACGTGAGGCCTCTGACGTTCCTTCTTTATACAGTAGTACTGCAGAGACTTCGAATTCTATATTATTTTCGTCACTTTTTGCTAGTCTTAGTTTTTCTATGGTTCTTCATGTATTTTTGAATAAATTCTGGGCGAGGAGGGGTGGTAGTTAGTTATTCATTAGTAATATTTCCTTTATTTGTTGGATTTTGTTATTTAAATCTTCTGGTCTACTAGTTAGGCTTTTGGCCCGATATAAGTATAAAGACAATTAAGTAAATCTATCTTTACCGATTCTGGATGGGATGAATTAAAGCCTAAGTATTTTTGATTGCACACTAGTCAGTAACTAGTGTAATGTGTCTAGTCCTATCTTCGGTGCAGACTGAATTCTATCAGTCATGTTTGCAATGTGGCCACCATTCTAGGTAGCTCGCCATCACGGTGTACATTGAATTGATGATATTACATGGCTGGAGGTAATCGGCAAGAAGCCTTGCTTCACCTAGGTTTCGTGCTAGTTGGCACACACCAGTCAGCAAGGCGTATCTGCAACCTTGAAGGAACTGATGTCCCTTCTGAGATTCGAACCCGCGTCACCCAATGCTGCAGTCAGAGACGTTACCACTGAGCTATTCAGGCTCGCGACTGACCTCCTGTAGGACTGTATTGGAGACTAGGTCATTGGCTCCAACCATCTAATACCAACAAGCCTAAGTATTTATTAGAGTTTGTCGGTTTCTTATAAATGCTAGTGTCTAACCCACCATCGATTCAAACACCGCACACATGCAATCGGAATGACGCAACGACGCCTATATCGGAGATATGGAAAGTGGCAAAAACTATATATATATATATATATAAGAGAAATTGTGAGGACGTGTAAGTAAATTGATATAATAATAATAATAAATAGTTTGCTTTATTCCAAAACAGTACTTGTGATACAGAATGGAATTCTCAGCATTTTACTACAGTATTGCATCCAGTTAGTACATTAACAATAAATAAAATTCTACATAGATTAAGGGTAATCTCAGTTCATTATGACAACAACATATTGGCATGTCGGTAGCAAAGCCAAAGCTGAACAGTGTTTGAAGGTGTTAGAAAAGTAGATGCTAGCATATTTACTGGCGTAAGCGGTAACAAAAAGGTCGAGATACACAGAGTGTGAAAGAACGAAGAAGAATGTTTAAAAAGAGTTTGTAAGGAAGAAAGAAACAAAGCAGCACATAACAGAAAAAAAGAGAGAGAGAAAAGGAAGAGAAGAAAGAAAACGTTGTACCTATAAATGATATGAGTTGGAAAGACGAGATCCAGTTGTTCTACTGACTATTTAATAAGTTATAGGTATCACGCCTAATGCTTTCTTTATCACACAGAACACGAGCTAAGTAGGGTATGGTTGAGTTTTTGTACTTGCTAGTGCGAGCATATAGTTTTCTATATAGGCTTCTGGTTTTGCCTGATGAGATACAAGGGGAGAGTTGTGAATGAAGAGGGTGGTGTGAGTTAGACAGAATGGATTTAGCCCATTTTTCACATGAGTCCATGTGCCTGTCAACCAGAATATTAACAAGCTGGTTAAGTGGCACGTTGCTTACCCTGCTGACAACCTTTAACATCCTGCGTAATAAGGTATAGTCTTTCTTCAGTAGCCCTGGAAAAACTAAGGGGGAACAATAGAGAATAATAGGCAGGATGCAAGAGTTAACGAATTGTAGGAGTAAGGGTTGGGTTATTCCAGAATGTCTTAACTTCTTGATGTAGATATGATTATGAGTGACAGTAATTTATACTCGAAACCTTTTCATCCAGTTGTTAATACTACATCATCACTGTGTGTGATATTTAAAATAAACTTATCTAATATGGAAGATAATGGACAAACATCATTTGAACGAACCAGTTCACGTAGATCACATTTATGCCTGAAGGTGACATTAACTATCCGATACTTGGGGGGAATTTAACCCAATACGATTTAGCTTTTTAAATCCCTGACAAATGTCTGACAAAAAGCTATTCCCTCCGGAACTGTAACTGGCAACAAGACAAACAAACACAAATTAGTTAAGTTATATATGTCCAAACCAAGTTCACTTTTAACGGTTTGAAAAAATTTGGGCATTGGGTATATGATATTCATTATAATAACAGTCGTCATTCCATATAGAGCAGAGACGTCAGACGATATCAGAAGAGTACTCAATCAGCTCGACATTAGAGTTTTCTTTAAAACATCAGACACACTTCAAAGCAACCTTGTCCATATAAAAGACCAAATCCCTAAAGATTCTCTATCTAATTGTGTCTATAAAATAAAATGCTTGGAATTTGCTGCGATATACATCGGACAAGCATCTCGAGAAATCAAAATCAGAAGAAATGAACACCGTAGAGCCTCCTCTATTCGACCACCGAGAAATCCCGTTGAACTACAAAAACTTGAAAAATCACTAGCCAGTCATAGGTCTACACGCTATAGAATCAGGCCACAGAATTGATTTTGACAATATTGAAATAATCCAGAAAAACTTCAGAAACCAGAAAGAACGTCTAATATCAGAAGGACTTCATTTCAAGTGGAATCAAAATTGCCTGAATAGGAATGATGGATTAAAACAGAATTTGACCTGGTTACCACACCTCCCACCCCCATCAAGTGACAAAATCAACACGAATGTGACAAGCAAGTTCACTATGTAAACACACACTACTTTTATAATTTTACACACCGATCAAATCCAACAATCCACACTTGATTTTGTTATCTTTACCAATTGACCAACTTGACAACGAAAAATGCTCCCAGACAGACGAACGATGATCAAGTTAGTAAACTTTATTTTGATATCATAACAGACGTACTATTACCTTTGTTATTTAAAACAATTAGTTCCCTTTATGAATTTAGATAAAGCAATAAAAAGACGTAATTTGTCTGAATCATGTAATGTATTTGCGAAACACATTGCGAACAATCTGATCAATCACACACGGACTTGTCATAGGAATATATATGAAATTAATAAAGAGGTAAGAGGTGAGAAAATAGACTTAGGTCAAGTTAAAAGGACGACATATTCAAGGTCAAAATAACAATGAAGACCACTAAACCAAATAACAGAGGTAATAGTACATCTGCTATGGTGTCAAAACAAAATTTACCAAGGAAGGTTTAATGTGATGACGAATTGTTGTTGAACACATAAAGGTGGCTTAAACTTTCTAATTGCTAGGGCTTCCACAAACTTTAGGATACGCCCCAAACACGTTTTATAGATAGGTTTAAAAGATCTGTTAACGTCAATTTTATGTCCTGTCTCTATAATATGTTTCGCAATAGAGCATCTAGGTCTCCTGTTCTCACCATTAATAGGTTCTGAAGATTCCATTTGTTTCTGGAGCCATTTAGGAATATGCTCTGAAGCCCTTACTTGCAGAGATCGATGAGTCTTCCCCAGTTTAGTGATATTCATTGCTATTTTTACTTTCAATATGTCCTTTTAACTTGACCTAAGTCTATTTTCTCACCCCCTAACTCTTTGTTATATATATATGCTGAGACTTTGTAAATTCCGGTTTAATAATACTTTGATAAAGCTATTAGCAGCAGCATTAAATAGCGAAACGTCAGTAAAAACAACAATATCGTTTTGTTTTTCACTCATTGGGAAATACAAAAAAACTATTTATTATAATGAACAAATTAGTTAACTATTTACAGACTATTACACACACATAAAATTGATTCGTTAGCTTACCTTTCAATAACACATTAATCAATCCTGTTACTATTATTATTATTATTTCTCTGTCCTCCTCCTTCAATTCCTATTTGTTGTTGTTTAAATAAACTATCTGATGGTTCAAATTTTTTAAAAAGATTACTACAATATTCACTAGGCAATGAATTCAAATCAGTTGTACTCATCATACTACTGAAATTATCTGTTGACGTAATCTCATGTTTATACGACTGTTGTTGTTGTTGATGTTGTTGACGTTGTTGTTGATGGCGATAGTCAGTTTCATTGGATTGATTGATCTGCTGTGTCTTGACTAGTGAATTGTAATACGGTGGCCATGATGTGTTGTTGTTATTACAGTTAATATTATTAATATTATTATTAATACTACCGTTGATTTCTTGTTGTGTTTGTCCTACAGACTGTTGTGGAGGTAGAATAATTGCATTTGTCAAGTGTATTATTTGTAATTTATTAATTTCTTGATTAATCTGTACACCAGTCTGGTGTGGAACACTTTTCTGATCATCACCATGTTTATTCATACCATTATAATGATGTTGATGAGATTGTGATTGGTAGTCATAAAGTTGATTTTTCTGTTTTATTGTCGACAATTGTTTTATGTTAACATTTTCGTTATTAATAAATGTATCATTCATCGAATAGGATTGCTCTTCCTGCTGCTGTTGCTGATGTTGTTGATGAGGATGAGGATGATAAGCATCATGTTGATGATGTTCACGTATCTGATGATGATGATTTGATAAATAAGTAGGCGAATAAGTAGTAGTATATGATGAATTATTTGCAGAATGATTATTATAGCTCCCATCGAAAAATTCCCTTGAAAATTTATTCAACTCTTTCTTCAATGAAGGGATGTAAATTTCTTCACTTGATTGCCTTGTCTTTTGAGTATAAACTGTTTTAAATGATTCTAACAATGGTGGTTTGATAATTATACTCTCTGTTGTCTGATTTAATCCCTTATTGTCAGTAGTTACAATATTATTATTATTATTATTATACATATTTGAAAAGTTTAAAGGTACACTTAGTGATCCAGGTAAGGCGTTCATGTGTTCACTGGTCATTGGTTGGTTATTTTGTTGCTCTTGTTCTGTTCTACTTTCTCCTGGTTGTTGTTGCTGTTGTATGGTGTTGTTGGTTCCCGATGTGTTGTTGATGATGGTAATAATATAATAATAATCGTGTTGATGTTTCTGTTGTTGATGATGATAGGCAACAGCTGCAGCTAACGCGGCAACATGATGTGCTGCTGCTGCCGCTGCTGTTACTCCAACAAGTTTCTCTTCATGACTAGACTGTATCACTTCGGTAAACTGATTATAATCTACAGGTGTATTTGTAATCAAAGAGGAGGGTGCTACTATATGACACGAGTTAATCTCTTGATTACCATTCAGAGGGAAAAATTCATTCATAGTATCACTTTTATTGACATTAGATGAATATGATGAATAATTAGGCTTAAATTGGGAGGAATTCGAGTAATAATCATTGTAATCATTGTTTTTTGATTTTACACTATCAATAAGATTTTGACAAAAAACACTCACTCGATCGGATTTATTAAATTCAAATGGGAAAGGTTCTATTATATTGTTATTAGGGAGAGGGTGTAATGCTGACGCCTCTGGCTCATCTTTACTCCCTAATGATTCATACAAAACATGATCTTTTGAAAATTGACTTGAAGCATAATTCGTACTGTTGTCTGTACTGTTAACTAGATCGTGTGATTTGAATAAATGGTTTATTGTTGATGTAGTCATCGAAGTAGTAGCAGTCGTAGGTAAACCTGAATTAAAATATCCTTGTGGTGAACAATAGTCAGGAAGTCTACGTGGACAAGAGGGATTTGAATCAGTTAGTTTATCTGACAGAGTTTTTGAACCTCCTGTCGATGATGTTGTCGTTGTTGATGTTCGACATTGAATCATAGACAGATCATTATAACTACTGTTTACAGACATTGAATGAGTAGGATTCAACTTTTGTGAGGAGGTTAGTTCATCATTGATAAAATTTGTTGAATCTACAATCCCTCCATTATTATTATATTCTCTAACTAAGCTCAATGCATTTTGAGTAGTTTGAAAGGGTTTTGTAAATGTTTCTTGAAGAACAGTATGGAAACTGGTACTTCCAATATTTAAATGTGTAGGTATAGTAGAAGGATAATCACTGGGACAGGATAAATTGTCACATTGGCCGATATTTGTCTCATAAGATGGTCGTGATGACGATGACAATGATGATGATGATGACACTGACGATGACGTAGCCACTGAAGAAGTAACCAGTTGGTGGATCCAAGAATTAGTACAATTTTTAGCAACTGAAGGGAAATGGAATCGATCTGGAAAGATTTGATCACGTGAATTTGAAACAATATTTTCATTGTATCCTTCTGATCCAATATTTTTTTCCAACATTCGATAAGCAGATAATAAATTTGTTTGATGCTTTTGATGCTTTGTATCAGCACTGTGTATATTCAGCTCACTGTTAACCTTAGTGGCTTTTAATGGTGGTTTCATCGCTCCTTTGTCTAGACGATTTTCAGTGAATTCTTGTGCTACCTCTCCTTAGTTGGAGAAAAAAAAACGAGAATAACAAAGATAAGAAAAGGTGAATCAACGAATGAAGTTATAACACTTTGGCGTGTACTACTGACAAGATTTATCAGTTAGTAGTATATAGACGCAGATTGATAGGAAGTAGACAAAATTGAAAACAACATTTTAAGTCAATGGCTAAAGAAACAGCAGTGTTTATTCCTCAAATCTACAATTAACTTACGTTGTGGTCAGGAAACAATCTGATTGGATAACTGTTCACCTCAAGGTTTAAACTTCGGAAAACCAACAACCAATCAGGATGGTTTATTATCCACTGACCTAGCCGACCTTTAATGTGGCTAAAAATGTATAAATACGGTGTGTTTATCCTTAATAAAAAAATATCCGTTGCCAAGTCTCCTGTCTTTCTCCTGTTACAACAATACTAAATACTCTAAACTATAACAGCCCAAACCGAAACCACCTAGCGAACGGATAAATGACCTTGGGCAACCAATCAGATGACTCCGTATTATCCAGGCGTACTTATGGATGCTGTACACCTTTTGCGTTGCAAATTCGCTCCAGATCTTGTTTTTGATTACTGTTTGGAGAACAGACTGATAGGAAGGTCGAAAAAGTGTGAATGTGGAGGTGTCATGTATATACAAAGATATACTAGGTGCAGTGATGGATTTGTTTACAGGTGCGATGAGTGCCGAACCAGAAAATCAGTTCGAGAAGGTATGCCGTTCTTTTTTAGTTTACAGATTCCGTAGGTACTTTTTTCGCCAAGTCTAAATTACCTCTAACGAAAATTTTAATGATGTGTCATAACTGGATGCTTAAAAGACCAGTAACAGCAACAGCATAGGAATCAGAAAATTCAGAAGTGTCTGCAGTGCAATGGTACCAGTACTGCAGAGATATAACATCATGGAAAATGAACAGGCTGACTCAAGTACTTGGCGGAGTTGGCGTCATTGTTCACGTGGATGAGACAGTGCTGATAAAAAGAAAATATAATCGAGGGAGATTTAGTGCGAATCAGCAGTGGGTGTTGGGGATATATGACACCACCCTAAACAAAGGATACATTGAGGCGATCCCTAATCGCAGTGCAAATGTCTTATTGCCTATTATCCAACGCTTAGTGATGCCTGAAACAACTGTTCATACAGATGAATGGAGTAGTTATAGTCAGTTATCAAACCTGGGCTATATTCATCACGTCGTCAACCATACAAAGGACTTCATAAATCCTTTTGATGGAACTCACACTAATTCCATCGAAAATTTTTGCAGTCACCTCAAAAAACGCATCAGATCTGTGAATGGATCAAGAAATGCAATGATATACAGTTATCTCGATGAGTTTATGTACAGGGCTTGGTTTAACATTAGTATCAAGACTCCTATGAGAAATTGGGAGGTTTTTTGAAACAAATACGAGAACGTTAGCATTTGTAAGTATTTTTTAACATTGCATTACTTTTTATATAAACGTTTCATTGAAATTATGCGCCATTTCTATAGAGGCTTCTGATTGGTCAAGGTTGTCGTTGTCAAGGTCATTTACCCGTTCGCCAGGTAGTTTCGGTTTGGGCTGCTTTAGCTTAGAGTCACCATACTTGCGTTATTTTAAAGTTTGCAGAAATACTAATTACAGGTAATCTTTTAATATGGAGGACAGAGATTTACTCAATTAAGACATATTTTATTCTCAAGGGTTGATTTGTTTTTCAAGTTGGCCCACGGATTGATATCAGTTAGAGTACCATTGAAAACCAACAGGGAGTAATGGACAGCTGTTTCATTTTAGCTTCAGGACTCATCAACAGTACGCACCCACCACCAAAGTTCGAACCCGGTACCTTCTGGTTACAAGGCTAGCGAGCTCGTATACCATTCAGCCTTGTGGGACACACTCGACTCAATGGCCTGGCCATGAATTCTAACTTCTACCAATTCGGGATTTTAGCGCGACCGCCAGCCAATGTCACCGACGAGTATTCGTGCAACACTGAAACTTTGTCAAAATGAAGTAATTGAATACATTCTGAATCAAATCAATCTATTTTTATTTTGTTTACACACTAGATAACAACTAATGCCATACGTCTAATTGTTCGCCTTTGGTACAGACTGAATTCTATCAGCTTGACTTTAAAACCGGAAGGTAATGGGTTCGGAACCTGACGGTGGGTGCTTACTGATGATGATGATTTCCAAACTAGGATGACAGAAACACTTGTCCAGTACTCCCTGTTAGTTTTCAATGCTTCTCTAACTGATATCGATCCCTGCCTGGTCTAGCTTGAAAAAACAAATTTTATTGTCAATTTGTTCATGTTACTTCGTTTTAAAGTACAGTCGTAGATGCATGAAATTATATACTACTCACTGATTGAGATGAGTAGTAGTAGTAGTTGCACACCAATCATTGTGGACTAGTAGTACTTGCAGATTGTGAATTTGACTTATGGTATGTCCAGTTCGACGAAGTGCCTAACCAAAAACCAGGTGGTTTCAGCTGATTCGCCACTATGAGCAGAGTCAAACACGGTACGCCGTTGATGAGCTTAGCCGAAAACGAGTGAAATGGATGTATGGGGATTACATCACTTCTTCGATCTGGCTGGTATTCAAACACTATAGGTTTATGTGAGAGGTATATAACTACTCAACCCACTCAATCAGTAGTATTTAGTTTTAGGCGAATATGATTGCTTTCTTGATTCCCGTTAATGGTATCAACCAGATAGCAGATCACATATTGTGTGGTGATCTGAATGACTTGGTTACCAAACGAGACAGTGTAGGAAATCTTGCCTCCTTGTACTGTGTACACGGCGGATTGCTAAGCAATTTTCAAATAGTGAATTTGATTTACAATGGTAAATGGTCCACTTATTCTACTTTGATATAGCGAAAATATTCATTCAGACATCTATAAAAAACAAAATAATTGAGCAAAGAATATCCTCTTCGATAATTTCCTCTTCTGGCTCTACAATTAATATATATATATATATGAATAAGGCATTTAGAAGACAAATTTCGCGAGATGATATCGTCATTTCGTAGTTTCTTTACAACCGCTTTACAACTAACATGGTTAACAATAATAAAATAAAGATCATGACAGTTACTCAGTTAAATAAAAACCTGTGTGTACAAAAAACAATAGACATCAATCTTCGCCTACCATGGACTACTTGACCTATCTAAATATGATTGGTCATCAGTATGTACTTTTGTTTTTTATTTAACTGAGTAATTGTCATGATCTTTATTTTATTATTGTTAACCATGTTAGTTGTAAAGCAGTTGTAAAGAAACTACGAAATGACGATATCATCTCGCGAAATTTGTCTTCTAAATGCCTTATTCAAATATATATATATGTTTATATACATAGAATATTCTAGAATAGTAGTCAATAACAATATTTGTGTTTTTTTTAATAATATCGATTTGTTAAGTAAGATCACAATGGAATTACAGTTCATTAAAGATGCATAAATTATGATAATAATAAAGATATAGTAGCAAATAAAATATCAACTAAAATTAAGGGAATTTCTACAGAAAACTGAGGATCATTCGAACCTAGATGAACAAGGTAAGGACAATGTCTGAACCAGTTTCTTTTGGACGCATAAATTAGGCTTCTTAATGTGGATCCAAACGGCCTCAGAAATATTTAGTATTCGAACTGTTAAGGCGAAATTAAGATTTGCTGGTATGCAGTAAGTGACTCTGATAGCCTGGTTAACATCAGTTTTGTGTTCTGCATCCACAAGACCGGATAGAATAGCGCTACGAATAGATTTTGTTTGTCCTTTACTTAACCACGTCGGATTTTCGAACATCATCCTGCGTGGGTGGATACAGAATACAAGATTGATATTACCAAGATGGCTTTCAAAGTCATTTACCGCATACCAACAAATCTCAATTTCACCTTAAGAGTTCGACTACTAAATATTCCTGAGGCTGTTGGGATCCATATTAAGAAGCCTAATTTGTGCGTCCAAAAGAAACTGGTTCAGACATTGTCCTTACCTTGGTCATCTAGGTTCGAATGATCCTCAGTTTTCTGTAGAAATTCCCTTAATTTTAGTTGATATTCTATTTGCTACTATACCTTTATTATTATCATAATTTGTGCATCTATAATGAACTGTAATTCCATTGATCTTGCTTAACAAATCTATATTATTTTAAAAACACTAATATTGTTATTGACTACTATTCTAGAATATTCTATGTATATAAACATATATATAATTGTAGAGCCAGAAGAGGAAATTATCGAAAAGGATATTCTTTGCTCAATTATTTTGTATTCCATTTTGATCAGTCAGTGTATCTCTGAAGATCAGACTTATTCAACATACAAATTACACATAATCATGTAAGAAGTAAATAACTACCGAAATGGAAGTCCTTCAGTCGTCATTAGAATTCATCTAAAATGTTAGAGAAATAATACAAAATATCACTAGTGTTCTGTTTTGCCTTTATTTTAAAAAAAACGTTTTATTGCTCTACCACACACACACGCGTATACACAGTAACAATAACGGTAGTCTGCAAAAAAATACATAAGACTTTGTTTTCTCAACCCCGAAATGTTTTGAATATACTTTTCAGTGACCTAGTTTTACTGTTTACCTTATCGTCTTCCGAAGCTGCCTTGGGATTATTTATGGATAGAGGAATATATATAAATATATATATATATAAAATCACGAATTGGTAGAAGTTGGAATTCTTGAAGCTGGTTATTCAGTCGGATCCCTGTGGTTGAATGGTCTACGAGCTCACCTTGTAACCCGGAGGGTCCTAGGTTCGAACCCTATCAATGGGTGCGTACTGCTAATGAGTCTCTAACTAGGCTGACGAAACAGGTGTCCAATACTCCAGTGGTGGTTTTCAATGATTCTCTAATTGATGTCAATCCATGACCCATTTATATAAAAACTTAAGTCAATTTCCCCTATAAGCCAATAGTAAAATA